CTGCCCGGCCTGGGGCTCCGCACGGAGCCGGGGCGCTTGGAGGCCGGGAACTCTCTCTGTATCCGTCTGGCGTCTGCGCGGGTAGAAACCGCGTCCTTTCTGTCTTTCTTTCTTTCTCCGAGTGCTGAACCTGCTGCGTCGCTGTGAGGAGCAACTGCTGCTCCTTCCCGTGTCATCGAGGTTCCTGCCGGTCGGGTTCCCTTCATGCCAAACCTTTAAGGGTCGCGTCCCGAGTTTCTCTATCAACAGGGTGTTCTGGGTTCAGGGAATTGTGAATCGGGCCCTCGCAGTGGCCAGCTTCCCGGGGTGCTGGCACCGGTGGTTTAATTGGCCAGAGTTGTTAGTGCTGCGTCCTGAAGCCGAGCCTGCCTTCCAGCAACGCGTGTTTTCCTTGAACACTTGTAATTTATTCCTGTAAGGAGGAGCAGGATACCATACAGGTGATGGTGCAGTCATGCCACGTCTGTCGGTAGCCTTGAAGCAGGAATTATCTGTTACCTTCTTTTTTATTTCAGATGTTAATGCTTTGATAAATGCTTATGAGTTGATCAGATCAGCCAGTCGAGGAAAATCGGTGCTTACCTCATCAGATAACCTCAGTGCCGACGTGTATGTTTTATGTGCTGAACAAGCATTTCAGGTTGGTAATTTAGGCAGTTTATCTGTATTGAATAAAACGTTGCTATGACACATTGTATTTACGGTCATTAAAGTTACTACAGAAGATATTCCCAGAAGTACCCGTGAAAAATACTGCACTGTTCTGTTCTTGGAGACCAGTTGTTGAAAGATGCATTTTCAGGTGAAACTGCCTCTGTCACTTCTTTATCATCGTTTAGCAGACTGGTTTGTGAAGTTTGAAATTAGACCCACATAGGTAAGGTGAACCACAGTAGCATAAAATAGTTTGCCATGCCTGTTTTTTCCTGTTATGAAAAACTAGCATTAGGAGTTTGGGTATTCCTGAGAAAAATGTGTTTGATTACAGGCCCTACTGGGCAAAACAAGAAAAGATTACATTCTTATTATGAAAGATTTTTCATAACTTAGCTCACTTCTATAAAAAGTGGTAGAAACTCTTTACTTTGAAGTGTGGGGTTTTTTTTAAATTTTAAATCCATGGCTACAAGAGATTTGATTTCAAGCAGAGTTTTTTTATAATTATTTTTTTTTCTTCCAGACTGCAAGCCACTCAAATTCTGTCTGTTGCCTGGAAATTGCAGCACTGACATCCATACAAAATCCTGCAGGCTGATAACCATCCTTTTACAGAAAATCTACTAGGAATTTTGCATTTATGTTAACAATTCTGTTAGTGGCCATTAAAAAAAAGAAACATTTTTTTGTATACCATGAGGAGTTCCATGACTGAGTGATTCAGGAGTTTTGTTAAATAAAGGAACTATTTTTCTATACATTTGTAATGGCAGAAGTCTAGCTTTACATTTTAGTAAATCTTAGTGGGTTTAGCACATTTATATTGTTGACATACTGGTATGCAGTTAGATGCTACACTTATGAGTATTTGTGCATTTTTTAATTATTACTCTTTTTTTTGTCTTAGCTGGGATATCGAGAAATAAGCAGTGACTGTCTGCAGATGTACTTTAAAGAAAGATTTCCTGTGAACCAGTTTCTTGGCAGAGCCTATTTGTGCCAAGGCCAGTTGCACACTCCACTCTCAACAGATAATTTGGTGAGAAATTATGAAGGTTGCATTGTATTAAGCAAGTTTTTAAGAGTATTTCCTCCTAGGCTTTTATATATTGCTTTCAGTCATTTAAAATGCACAAGGATAATTAGGACTGTGGGAAGAATCAAAGGAAAGTATTTTAGTGGGTACTTTGGGACCAAGCAAAACTTACCAGCTGAATTAGTCTAATATTGCAGATAACTTGGGAAGAAAGAATTCAAGCTTTAAAAATTTTTCAGATGATTGTTTGTTTTAAAGTCAGCCTTTTCACCTGATATCAGCGTGATAATTTTAGGCCAGATGTGACTGTAGCTGCTAGAACAAGTTTTGTTCACACTAAGCATTTCTTGACTGCCTAAAATGGCTTTAACAATCTTTTTGTTATTTGTGTTCACAAATTTCCCTGGCAGATGTTGCTGTGGTTTCCTTGAGTAATGTGTTTTATTATCTTTCAAACTAGAATCTTTTTTGTATTGTTAACTGTACTTTCTTTGTCTTCTCTGAGCTCTGATACTGAGGTTACTAAGGCCCAAGTACAGTTTGTCTACTTCAGTATCTGATACCTCTCAGGCTGGTTTTCTCTTTACCTCATGGCTCAGGAGCCACCTTATGCCAGAACTCAGAGTCCAGCAAATCAGTCCTAACTCTCTTCAGGCTTTTAATTATTCTGTTCTGTCTCACTGTAGAGTCCTCTGGTGTCATCACCTTTCTGCCCATCCAGTCTCCCTCTGCCATTTCCACTGCATCTTTCTCTTAGGCTTTCAGAAAATCCCTTTTCATGATCCTGTCCATGTTCTCTATGCCCTCCCTGCAAGTGTTTGTCCACACTGATGAGATCCCTCCAGAGCTGCCTTCTCCAGGCTAAGCAGCTCTCTCAGCCTTTCCTTGCAGGAGGGATGCTCCAGTCCCTTCATCATCTTTGTGGCCCTTCTTGGACTCTCCACAGTGTCTGTGTCTCCCATTCTGGAGAGCCCAGAGCTGGGCCCAGCACTCCAGGTGTGGCCTCCCCAGTGCTGAGTAGAGGTGAAGGATCAGCTCCCTCAGGAGTCTCCTCCTCGGGCAGCCCAGGGTGCTCACGGTGCTGTTGCGGAAGGGCTAGCTGCTGGCTTGTGATCAGCTTGGTGTCCTCCTCTGGTGTCCTCTGCTTTCTAGGTGCTGTAATAGTGAAAAGAGCGTGCCTGACACACTGTTCTGTTGACAAATTCTTGTTGGAGCTTTCCTGAAGAGAAGAATACCTCAAGTTTCTGAACTTTCTTTGCAAAAGCTTAAAAAGTACACAGCTTCACAGTTTTGGAAAATTCCAGTCCTGATAATGACAGTTTGGTAGAAAAGAAAGTGAAAATATAGTCTTAAAATTTGGAATCAGGAAAACATACTAATAGGCAATGCTACTAATTTTTAGTTATTCTGTCTCTACAGCAGCAACTTATTATGGCAGCATGTATTATTTGAGATTGGTCTGAAAACAAGAATTATGAGATGTGAAACCTACTGAAATAGAAAATAATGTATAGATTTATAAAAGCCATATTCAAATTGCATTAATAGTTTTTTGTTCTGTTCTAGGAGGAGTTTGAAAAATTTGTGCTGTTCTTTATCAAGGCAATAGATTTTGCCCTACATGATCAAAGGTAGGCCCTGCTGATAGTAACATTTCCTGAGACATAAAGAGTTAATCCTGAGTTAGGTTTTAGTAGTTGTTTGTCTCAGATTTTCACCAACTACTATTTGGGTTTTTTTTACTTTTGTGGATTTTTGTTCCATTTTGTTACTGCACTTCTGTAACTGCTCTGAGGGCTGCAGCAATATAAGAATACTGAACGGTTTGAGGAAAAGTTCCAATTTCTGCTTCTTAGAAGTGTCTTAACCCATCTGTGATTTTATGTTTATCAAAGCCCACAAAATACTCAATTCTTGGTTCTTGTTTTTCAGGTACTATTTTTTGGTATATAATGCCTCAGTCCTCTATTGGCAGCTCGTGAGGCCGTACTTGAGGCCTGGGTTCCTCCACTGCCTCATTCCCAGCCTTTCTCGGGTTGTTCAAGCACTAAACCAGACTGAAGAGCCAGACAGTGAATGGAGAGCAGAGCTCATGATGTGAGTTCAATTGCACTGTTCTTACGGGCTTTCTCTAGTCTCTTGTACATGTGGCTGCCACCTGAGATAGTCTTTAATGTGTATTTCACTGGTGACATAGATGCATTTCATGTGGAAAGCTTAATTCATAACCTCTTAAAGATGCATCAATGTACATGTAACATAAAAGGCCCTTCATTGTAGTAGTTATGTTGAGGTTAAAATGTTAGTGGCAGAGGCAGACAGGCCCTAGGTCGAACTGGAAATATCACAGTAATTTTGGATGCCATGTTTGGGTCATTGCTTATGTGCAGTCCTTGTGAGGAGAAAGACAAAATTCTGTTTTTTTAAGAAGTGTTTTCTTCAGACAAAGAAACATAACCTTTAAATTGATAAATATCTATTCTGTCCTCTGATCCTTGAAGAGAAAACAAGCCACATAAGGTTCTGAGCACAGTGTTGAGGAGACCTTCTAATTTCCATCTTCTTCATGATGAAGGTTTTTACATATATTGACCTAAGTTATCTATTTTACTACTTGTTTCCTCCTATTAACCTGGAACTGTATGTTGAAATGAAACTTTATGAAAAATCAGCAAAATAAGTATTTGTATTGCAAATACAGCAATTGAGAATACAGAGATCAGTTGTCATCAGTAATGATACTTCGTTCACATGCTTTAATTTACAATTTGGTACTGTATGGTTCTTACCAATGTAATTAGTTTAGATTAAGCTTTTTGCTTTCTAATTAGTATTCTGTCCAGTTTTCTTCAGTATTAAATTTAAGGATCTCCCTGCTAATTTGTGCCTCATGTTTGAAAGCATAAATGAAATGTCTTCTTTTAGCCATACCTATGCAAAGTAAAAGCCCAAAAGTTAGAAAAAGGAGAATAACTTGCAAAAAAAGACTATTAAAATTTAAAACCACAAGTTTTCTTTCTGGGTATTAATGAAGGGAAATACTTAGTTATTTGAGAGTTAAACCTCCCAATCAAGTGAATTCACAGAATATCTTTAAGTATTAAGAAAAAAAGCACAATAGAATCAAAATACTAATAATTTTTAGGAAAGAGATTAGTAGTCTGGAGTTGGATAGAAAGACCTTCCATGTTTGTCTGTCATAATGGACATTTTCCAGCTAATTTCATGTCTTATTTAGGAAATACGTATTTTGTAATAATTGGTAATAAAAGGTGTATCAATGTCAATGTATTACTATTCTTATATTTCCTGAGTAAAGCTGGAGCATCAGCCTTGCCAGAGTAACAGGGTTTTCAAAAGTGGCCATGTAGTTTTTCAGGGTCAGACAGTCTTTTCTCAGAGGTGTTTTCAGTTCCTGTTACATTTTTGCCACAGTATTTTCCTTTCTCTTTGTGAACTTTTCTGTTTCTTTGGTCTATGATTGATGGTTTATTGCTATTCAGTATTTTCTTTATAAGCTGGAACTGGAGGGAAATAAAAAATGAACTTAAAAAGCATTCCAATGGGTATGTTAAAGGTTCTCTGGAATACCACACATGCATGTTTTTTTCTATCAGACACGTCTTTGCTGAGGTTTTGATGAGAAGGAGCAAATGCACAGAATGTGTTTGTCTTAGGAGACTAATGATAGCCTTTATTTTTTGCTACATTTCTATTTTTTAAATAATTTATTTTGTTGTTGTTGTTTTAAATTTATTTCATGGAATCACAGGCTCTTTTTCAGTTAAAGTAGATAGAGTATTGAAAGTCCAGTAGATATGTTGCAGTTCCCAATATGAATGGTCTTCTTTTGCTAACTTGCCTCTGAAATCCTGGACTTTCAAATAGTCAAAGGAGAATCTCGGAACGCATACCACAGAAATGTTCTTCTCATACAAATTTCATTATTTTAGGACATTTAGGAATGGTACCTTGGATATAAAGTGTGTCTTGAAAATTATAGAATCATAAAGGTTGGAAGGGACCTTAAAGATCATCAAGTTCATTATTTCAGAAACGTTTATAAGTATTTAATACCAATCTTTCTTTGATCTGCAGAAATTTACTTGAGTGCTTCCTCGACGCTTCAAAACTGAAAGAAGCAAAAGAGTTTTCCTCTAGTGCAGCAGTCTTTATTAAGGAAAATGTTCCAGATAAATACCCTCAAATATTTTCTCTAATGGTACAGTTTAAAATATTTTAAACTTCTATTAAGAAAAGAGCTTTCTCTACATTTCTTAAGATAGTTCATAGTTATAATTGTTGACTATGTTGTTTCCTTCATTTAAATTTTGTGAGCTACCAGATAATACAGTAGATAGGCAGAAATGTTTACAATTTGTATATTTTTGATACTATAAACTAAAAAGCTTCCTACTGCTCCATGTTATTTTAATACAAGATGAATATAATTGGGATAACTGTTGCTAACTCTAAAATTCTGTTTGGGTATAATTACTATTAAAACAGCAGGTGTAGTGGGTGCAACTTAACCTGTCTTGTGCCACTGAGGGCTTATTTTGCATCTATTGCCTTTTCTAATGCTGATAAATACTTAAATGACCCAACTTGAACCTAGTAAATAGTTCTGGGAATCAGAATATATATCAATCCTTGCATGCCCCTAATTTGGGAATTAAGATGGTGAATACACATGTAGCAAAAGCAGAAATAGGTAAATAAAACTTGGAAGTTGCCTGCAGTCATATTTTCTTCCATTCTGCTACACTGTCCGTTGTCTTTTGTCCACTTCCAGTCACTGCATTTCCAGAGCATATGTTTATGACAAAGTTTTTAACATTTGAATTAAGGAATAGACAGCTCTCCAGAGGTCTGATATTAATGGGCCAATGACATACAGGCAAGGTCAGAATGGCTTGTATTTTTTAGAGGCAGTGTCAAGCAAAGCTATTTGACAGGGACCTTGAACAGAAGAATAAAGTAGTTCTAAAATTGTTCTTGGGCTGCATGTCTAGCAGGATATGAAGTATGATCCATGCTATTATTGAGTGCTTTAGTAACAGCATATTCCAGTCCTGCTAAACTGCTGCTCCAGTACAAGTTAAGTAATCAGAGCTGATTGCTGTGGGCAGTCGGCATGAGAGTCAGAAGAAATTATGTGCACACATTTATTTTGTAACTACAATTAAATGGAAGTAACTAAAGTTTATTGTAATTTCTTCATATTTTTGTTATATATAATCTATAGTTACAGATAAATTTGAATAGAGCTCATTTCTTATTGCTGGACAAGCTATCAAAAGGTATTAAAAATGCATTATTAGAATTCCAACTCCAGTGTTAGTTCCACATTTAGATTTCTGCTAATACATCTGGTGCTCACCATGTGAAGATCAGTGTAGCTCTGCTAGGTGATCTGCTAGGTATCTGCAGAACAACACAGATTATCATAGCAGCCTCACTGCTCTTAAGGTCCATGAAAAAGCATACAGTCAACATGCCTGCTTATTTTAGCTATGTTAAATGTCCTTTGTTTGTTTACCTAGGCAATTAAGTGTGAAATTGTTATTTTATAGGTGTATCACAAACTAATGGATATTTCCCAGGTAGAGGAGGAAATACAAAGTTCCATCCATTTTTCAGTTATTTATAAAATGCAGATGTTGAAATGGTAGGTATTAAAATGTATCCTTTCACTTGTACCTTGATGCTTGATACTATGGAGGTAGGGTCAGGTCTTGGTACCCCATATGCCAGTAGAAAAATACACTGCAAAGATTAGTTTCTCAAAAGCAAAACTATAATGGCAGTTTGGGTAGTAACTGTCAGGCCTGTCTGGAGAACAGTCTCAGCGAAAAAGCAAGATAGTTCTTTAGGAATGTAGGGAATAATGCTTTGCACAGATACTCTCTAGTGAAAAAATTCAGGAGAATGAAAAAACATTTTTGCATCCAACAGATTGCAGTCAGATACACAAGATGTGTATAAGAGAATAAAGATGAAGTGGGGGGCCACAAAGATGATCAGGGTTAGGAGACTCAAGTTTTTAATGCAAAAATATTTCTTGTGAAAAATTACAATCAATTCCTAATATATTGCAGGCAGTGGGACACCAATGAATTTCCAAGTGATGCCACTGCAACTTTGAATTCTATCTATGTACTTCTGAAACAATACGAGGTGCCTCCAGGCTCTGTTCTCAGTGTGAAGTGAGTTTTATTTAGTTATAATAGCTTTTGTTGCTTTGATCCTTAGGTCATCTTAAAAAAGACAAAGGTCCTATTAGGCTTTATTAAGAATCCTGGATTAAATGACTGCTTCCATATAGCTGTTTGTATAATGTGGTTAAATCTTTCTGTAACTCTTTCCTGTTCCTAAAAGGAGATTTGAAACATGTCTTAGAATTGGTAAAGTGTTTTAGTTAATTTTTAGCTTTTCTTTGAGCCCTTCCCAGTTCTTCAGCATAATTTTGAAGTACAGACTCAACTCTATGCCAGTAGTTACAACACAACTGTTAGATATAGGAACTGTACTACATTTTTACTCATTGAGGTAAACCTGTGGTGACATTCAGAGATCTTGTTACTTCTCCCATCCCAGACAGTAACTGCCCATGCAGTTATTTGCAGAGATCCAGGTGTTTAGAACACAGGCTCCTATGAGTTTTCTTTGTTCTTATTCCTAAATAATTGATGGATTTGACTGGTTTGTGTGCCAGCTGACTGCCTAGTACTCAAACCTGTAGCAACAGTCTTTGTGCTGCACATACCATCATCTTTGCATATACTTTGTTCTGTGTGTTTTCATGTTCTTCAGGAAAAATTTGTGCAAAACTACAGTCAGATACCAGTTATTTTCCATAAGCAGATGAACTTCTGTATTTCTCATGTAGCAAACTTTCATATTTTTCTTTTTTCCTTGTTAACTGTGAGGATTACTAGTATAATTACATGTCCTCTAGCAGTCATATGACTTCAAGGTTTTCAGATATATTGCATAAAGTTTAGATTTATTTAGATAAAGATACACTGCGTAAACACTTTATTATAGTGGTTTTATAATTCCATAATACCAGGTTCTCTGAAGTGATGTTTTTTCTGTTCCTGAAGGGTTCCTCTGATTATGGAATTAGCTCGTTTTTCTATGAAAGTAAACTGCATTAAGCTTGCATATGATTGTATACTTGATTTGAAGAGAGCTGTGATTACTGTAAGTATTGATACTTTTTTGTGGTTGTTTTTTTAAACACTCCCCCTCTGTGATTATACTTTAAAATACTAATAGTTCTTCTGATCATCTCTGTATTGTTTATATATTACCAGTCTGTGGGTGTTTTGGTGACCATATTCATATTGCCCAGCATCATTTTGACATTAGTGACCTCTTCATGGTAGAGAGATCTGTATCAAGTTTCAGTTCCTTGGCTTTTACTAAATACTAACAGATTTTTCAGCCATAACATGAATTTCATCTCTCTGTGTATTTGTCATTACATGATAGTTGCAGTTCTCCATCTGAGATTTTCAAGATCTCATCTGTTTTCCAGTCATGGGGATGTTAAATTAACAAAGGTCATGCTGAGTGATTTAATAATAGTCCGTAATGAATGATGAATGGAGATGCTGTCTGGCTTTCCCCACTGCACCATATGAAAGCAAATACCAAGTATCTTAGATGATCCCTACATGTAATTTGTATGATTTAATAGCCAGATCTTTCCTGAGCTGTTAAAATCTAGCCTCTTATTTCAGGTAGAAGTTGCCATCAAGGTGAATCCTGTTTGTTCTGATGAGCTCTAGTTTGTTCCAAGCATGTACCTTTTTAACAGCATTAGTGAGCAATAATCTGCTACAACTAAAATCAAATCACAGTATAGAGAAACCAAGTGTGCACTAATTTCTTATTGCAAAGTCTGGCCATGAGCAAATTAAAATTCCTGGTAAAGTTATTTTGCATCTTCAGTTTAGGCAGAAGTGACTGCTTTCCAAACAACAAATTCTACTCTCTTTTTGTTGCTTCAGTTAATTAGCTTGTATAGAGGGTTTTTCAGTAAGAAATTACTGTGCTAATTAGTGTAATTGCATGGGTTTAACCTTAATTGTGCTCCTTTTTAATGATTAAAATTTGCATTTTGTGTATTAACACTGCATAGGAACAAGGGAAGCTTATTGAAATAGAATGCCTGGAATATGAATATGAAGTTAAAAAAATGGGCACTAAAATTGCAACTTACACCAAAGGAATTGTTGAGGTATGTTCTTTAATGTTACTTCTGTGAGAAAAGTAAAAGGTTTAATTTGTTAAACATGGAAAATTTGGACTTGTGTGTCTGAATTACTTTGTACTGATCAGAAAGTCTTTAATTCTCTATGTTCTTTCTACTTGGGCTGCCAAGAAGAAAACAGGAAAATAAGTAACTGTTGTATATGTCTCAACTATTGCATGTTATGGGTGAACTCATACAAATTCGTATCCCAAAGATACATGCAGATTATCCCTGATACATCCTCACACTGAGGAGGATTTTATTTCTGTGGCCCATTGACTGAGTAATAATTCAGACCATCAAAAGTAGAAGGCTTAATTGCCAGTGTTATAAATGGGATTAGACGAACAGCTACGATGAGCAGTTTAGAACAGCTGGAAGTTTCAAATGGGAAATGTGAACATGCTTCATGGAAATCAATATTGTTAGTGCATAAACTTGCTCCTGTCTGTGACTGTTCTCATTTTGGGGCTCAGAAATTCAATTCACCTTTCACCAAAAAAATTTCATTACTTCCTCTTCATATATACAACACTACAAATACTGCTTAAATAAAATTCAGGATATTTAGGTATTTCTAAGTGTTCCTACCACAATGTATGCAGTTGGAGAGCTTTTCTGGTTTATTTTTTTTCTTTTTCCTTCCCTTTTTCTTACCTGCCCCCCCTTCTGCTCTGCTTCCTACTCCCTTTTATTTTTTGTTTATCCCATAACCTCTAAAAAGACTTTGATAATTATTTAATGTCTGTCACTGTAGGATTTGCCCTTAGATAAAATAGGAATCGAGTTTAATTGACATTGTGGCAAATATAATTCATAATACTTCTTTTCTTCCTGTCCCACACTGCATTTGTTCCTTAGTATAAATTAAAACAAAGGTAAGCCTTCTGAATATACAGATATTTCACAATTCATAGAATCATAGAATCATAGAATCTTAGGGGCTGGAAGGGACCTCGAGAGATCATCTAGTCCAACCCCCCTGCCAGAGCAGGGTCACCTAGAGTACATCACACAGGAACTCATCCAGGTGGGTTTTGAATGTCTCCAGTGAGGGAGACTCCACAACCTCCCTGGGCAGTCTGTTCCAGTGCTCTGTCACTCTCACAGTAAAAAATTTTTTTCGGATATTCACCTTGAACTTCCTATGCTCCAATTTACACCCATTACCCCTTGTCCTATCACTGGTCATCACCGAGAAAAGCCTAACTCCGTCCCCCTGACACTCCCCCCTTACATATTTGTAAACACTGATGAGGTCACCCCTCAGTCTCCTTTTCTCCAAGCTAAAGAGACCCAGCTCCCTCAGCCTTTCCTCATAAGGGAGATGTTCCACTCCCTTAATCATCTTCGTAGCTCTGCGCTGGACTCTTTCGAGCAGTTCCCTGTCCTTTTTGAACTGAGGGGCCCAGAACTGGACACAATACTCCAGATGTGGCCTCACCAATGCAGAATAGAGGGGGAGGAGAACCTCTCTTGACCTACTAACCACACCCTTTCTAATGCACCCCAGGATGCCATTGGCCTTCTTGGCCACAAGGGCACATTGCTGGCTCATGGTCATCCTCCTGTCTACCAGGACCCCCAGGTCTCTTTCACCTACACTACTCTCCAGCAGTTCAGCCCCCAACCTGTACTGGGACATGGTGTTGTTCTTCCCCAAATGTAAAACTCTGCACTTCCCCTTGTTGAATTTCATCATGTTTCTCCCCGCCCAACTCTCCAACCTATCTAAGTCTCTCTGAATGGCAGCACAGCCTTCTGGTGTGTCAGCCACTCCTCCCAGCTTAGTGTCATCAGCAAACTTGCTGAGGGTACATTCTATACCCTCATCCAGGTCGTTGATGAAGATGTTGAACAACACCGGTCCCAGTACCGACCCCTGTGGGACTCCACTAGTCACACACCTCCAACCAGATTCTGCCCCATTGACTACAACTCTCTGACTCCTTCCTTTCAACCAGTTCCTAATCCACCTCACTTCCTGATCACCAAACCCATACCTGATCAACTTTTCTACAAGGATGCTGTGGGAGACGGTGTCAAATGCTTTACTGAAATCAAGATAAACCACATCTACCGCTCTACCATCATCTATCCACCTAGTAATTTCCTCATAGAAGGCTATGAGGTTAGTCAAACATGATTTACCCTTGATAAAACCATGCTGACTGCTCTTGATGACCCCCATGTCCTTGATGTGCCTGGAGATAGTCACAAGAACAAGTTGTTCCATCACCTTTCCAGGGATGGAGGTGAGGCTGACCGGTCTATAGTTACCCGGGTCCTCCTTCTTGCCCTTCTTGTAGACTGGAGTGACATTTGCTATCCTCCAGTCCTCAGGCACCTCACCTGTTGCCCATGACTTACTGAAGATGATGGAGAGTGGCCTAGCAATGACCTCCGCCAGCTCCCTCAGCACCCTTGGGTGCATTCCATCTGGACCCATTGATTTATGGATGTCCAGATTACTCAACTGATCCCTAACCCAATCCTCATCTACCATGTCAAACTCTTCCTCTATCTTGACTTCTTCTGGGGCTATATGAATCTGGGGCTCATAGGGAGACCCTGCAGGAGTGAAGACAGAGGCAAAGAAGGCATTCAGCACCTCTGCCTTCTTTATATCCTCTGTCACCAGGGCTCCCACCTCATTCCTCAATGGGCCAATATTGCCTCTACTGCTAGTTTTGCTAGCTATGTATTTGAAAAAGCCCTTTCTATTATCCTTAACCTGACTTGCAAGGTTAAGTTCCAAGGAGGCCTTAGCTTTCCTAATTGCCTCCCTACATCCTCTGACAACAGTCCTATATTCCTCCCACGTGACCAGCCCCTCCTTCCATGATCTGTAGATTTTCCTTTTCCACTTAAGTTTGCCCAGTAGTTCCTTCTTTAACCATGCAGGTCTCCTAGCACCCTTACTAGATTTCCTAACCATTGGGACACTCTGATCCTGTGCTTGCAAGAAGTGGTCCTTGAATGTTGACCAGCTATCTTGAGCTCCTTTATTTTCTAGCACCCTGTCCCATGGGATTTCCCTTAATAGATGATTGAGGAGACCAAAGTTTGCCCTGTGGAAGTCCAGGGTTCTGGTCCTGCTGGGTATTTTGTTCCTTCCACACAGGATATGTACTCATATAAAATCTGTTTTGTTGTGATTACATCAGCTCAGTTAAGATTTTATTAGCATTTAAATTCTATCACCATGCCTTACAAATTAGGTAGTTAATATTGTACAAACAAGGCAAACAAATAATTATCTTACTGTATTGCTTAATAATCTACCTGGTCTTCTGACATTTTTCAAAAAGAATTTTCAGCTTCAGTACAATACATTTTTTTTCTACTATGTTCTTGTTTGTTACACAGTTGTCAGGCTTTTCACTCTCAGTCTATCCTTCTTTCTCTCTTTCTTTACCTTTCTTCTTTTAGATTCTGTAGTATTGCTACATTAAAAGAGAAAGCAAGGAGACTTGCTATTAAGGGGAAGAAATTCAAAGTAGAGTGAAAAGTCATAGCAGTACTGTGAATAATTAGAATGCAATGATTCTTTGAAATATAAATATGTGTAATTTTGTAGGAGTGTAAAATGGTTTGGTTTTTTTGTCCCTTGTTTTTTCTTTCTGGGTTTCAGTGTTTAGGAGTAAGGTAGGACAGGTAACAGCTTCTGTTGTTCAAATTTAAAAAAATGGAAGAGAATATTTCAGATTATCCCATATTTTGTTTTATTTTTATTTTTCTATTATAACCACTTATTTATTTGTTTATTTGTTTTATCTAAATGTTGCATTTTAAAATGCTTTTAAATTCCCTCTTTCAGAGGTTTACCTTTTCTGAATTCACAGCTCAGCAAATCTGCAGGAATTCAAAACTGTTTCTCTACCACCACATTTGTTTTTATTATGTATGTCTTCAAAAAGAGGTTATTCTAAACATTACAGATTTACCTATGGATAAGAAATCATGAGTTATAATATTATCTTTTCCAATCCTTTCAGTTCTCAGTTTTCTCAGTCTAGCCTTCTCTTTGACTCAAAGATTCTTCCAAGTTTAGTCCACATTGAAACTTGTTCTGGTTCTTCTACTCCAGAACACTTTACCTATCTCTATTTTTTCCTGTATTTTCTTTATTTTAGAAATTCTCTATTCAGTCAAATCATATATTTGCTCTTCTTACAGCACTGCTTTTCTTTAGGTTCCACTGTAAAATCATTAAAATAAGAAGCTTTTAAAGGCCTTTCAATAGCCCTTGGAAAAGGTCCTATGTATATATTTTGGGGGAAAACCTCCCAAAATCTGCATGGAGTGTTTAGACCCTATGTAAAAAAAAAAAAGGAAAAAAAAAAAATAAGTCTTGAAGGCTGCTTTCTCTATTCTCTGTTCTAGAGAAGTAAAAGCATGGTCCTTTCTTTGGAAAAGAGAGGAGAAATTGATGAGAATTAAAAGGCCTGTTCTTAGCATCTTCTATCTGCCCCTGCCTCAGGGTTTGACTCCACCAATCTATTTCACTTTCATATTCTCTAATGGCCCTCAGTCTTGCAACCTCCTCTGTCAGCTTAACCACCTGCCTGAGGAGATCATTTACTTGCTCACACCGCACACATGCGCTGTCACTGGTTCCCTCTGATACCAGTGCCAGACTGAGGCATTCACTGCAGCTAGAGACCTGCACTGCTGCGTGCCTGCTTGGGAGCTCTGTCTGAGTCCCCACATTCTTTTTCACAGTGGTTTTTGGCCGTGTTGTGACCATGATCAATCTAGTTACTAGTCTGCTTTTCCTAGGATGAGAAGGCACCAGCTGCTCCCTGCCTGCCCTCGTGCAGCTCTCTGCCTCTCCGCCTGCCCTCGCGCCTGTCACGCGTCTCCCCTCCGGAGGCCGCTGCCGCTCTCTCTTCTGCGCTGCCGCGTGCCCAATTACCCATTTCCATTTATCAGCCTGAAATACGTAGTAGCAGTATGGAGCTCTTGAAAGAAATACTGCTTAGTTACCAACACCTGTTTAAAAAAGTTATTAATAAGCATTTTTTTATTATTTGTTTAAACAATATTCCAGAGTCTGGTGGCTGAGAGGGAGCTCTCTGTTGGAAACAGCCCTAAGGTTGAAAGTTGACAGGACACATAAGAAGTTGTATTTGTTAAATGTAATATCTGTTGATGTACTAATTAGTTTTTCATTTGTGTAGGCTCAGCTGGAATTGGTAACAAATCTTGAGTTAACCTTAAAACGTGCAGTTCAGCTGGGAGATCCAGCTGTGGTTCAAGTTGTTTGTGCCACCCAGTGGGGTCTGTGCTTGCCACTGCTGCAGCGCGAGCTGCGCCGGCGCCTCCGGACGCCACTCGTGGCAGTCGCTGATGTCCTTGAGGAGATGGACAGGTGAGTTTCGTGGTGTGCTTCTGTATTTGTTGCTCTGGGAAGTCTGATGGCTGACCATCAAACTGATCTGAAAGCTCAAGCTCTATGATGTCAAGTGTCATAAAATTTTCCAGTTAATCATGTAAGTATAGGTTCTTTTCAAGCAAAATCTCACACTATTCTATGGCCTATAGCAAATAATGAAATTTGTTAGGAACTGAAAAAGACTTTAGTTAATCAAAATTATGTGAGAAAGCTTCAAAGCTGCAGTATGAGTAAAAATGTTGCAGTGTGGTTTGGATTCTTCTGTTAACATCACATCTGTTGGATAAAAACATAGAAGGAAAAGTTACTTTTAAAAAACATCATGGCTTCTGGTTACATAACTTGTAAGATAATATTTTTGTCTCTTTAATGATACTTCTTTTTAATGGAAAAACCTGTGTTAAGAAAATGCATTGTTTGTTCATATGTATTCTTCTGCTTGCTACTAGGCTGTACTTAACCTCAGGCACCTAAGTAACTTCACCTTTTTGTTAATTTGAGTGGAACAAATAAATTTAGTATGCTATGTAGTGACGTTTGACCTATAAACAGGCAGACTGCTGAGAGGAAAGATCATAACTTTTGTAGTTGGGCTAGTTACAATAAATATAACCTGCCATTCCAGCAGAACAGTAGGTGGTTCCTGCATTTTTAATGTTTAGTTGCATAAAGAAGAAACAGAAGTCTGAAGAAGCAGATACACGTATCAAAACACTATATGTGTTGCTATATTGTTACTCAGGCATTTCTTATGTTTTCCCTATGAAGAGTGCAGTATCAGCATGTGTGACTGGTATTTATCTAAGTGTCAGGAATGAAGATTTTACCCTTAAAGCTTGCAGGTTAGGTTTTTTTGGGGGTAGAATTTTGGCTCACTTTAACAGTTTACATTAAATTTGTGTTCCTTAGCTCACTGATTTTGTTGCGTTGTCAAGTTCATATGGAAATAGCTTGTATTGAAGAGGATGAGGACAGACTAGAGGCTGCTGTGGCACATTTGCAAAAAGCTGTCCATCTGGACACCAGTGGGCAGTACCAGGAGCATCTGAGGTTGCGTTTAAACCGTCTTTGCTTGTGCACTGGGCTGTGTAAGTCACCTGGGCGTCCAGAGGATCAGGCAATCATGATGATTGAACAGGTAATTGGGAAGAGTAAGGTCAGTAGCTGAAATAGGTTTGCTTATTACATTTTCTCAGAGGAAAGCCAACTGCTTAGTAGGACTGCACATGAGGAGAACCAACACTGGCTTGCCTTCAGCAAACTGGCGTGGGTTGGTTGCTTGGGGAAACTCTAGATTCTCTCTCTCGGGTGGTCGTGCTGCCTCACACTGGTGGTGGCAACAGAGGATTTTTTCCAGTTGTATTAAAATCTTATTTCTTGGGGAGAGAGAGGATTTTGTTCATTAGCAAATGTATTAGTAGAAAAGAAACCTATTCATAATGGTAAACAATTATGATTTCATCACTTGGAACAATGTTTTAATTAGTGAGGGGAACAGTAGCTAAATAGCTAAACATCCTAGCTAGCTTTGGGATAAATCAGTGTTATGTCACACTATATGAATGATGCTAAATAACATCACCTAAAGTTGCAGTGTAGTCATTGTCTATAGAGTTGTTGCATCTCATTCTGTTGCGATGCCTCAGCACCTGAACAAAAATCATATTGGCAACTCACTGTTAGTTGACTAAAAGAAATTTCAGCTATACACCACTTTGGAATATTCACAGAAATTAAGATGTGTTCACTGAACCTAAAATCATTACTGGAAAGCTGCCCGTGAGTTGATATGTCTATTGTTAAGACAAAGAAAAATGAAGCTTTTTTGTCTAGTTTTAATGCTTTTCCATGCAAGGTTACTCTGTTTAAATGTTATTTTTTGGAAAGCACTTGGACCTTTTCTGACTCCAGTAATTCCGAGTGGACTAGGAATTTTTTCTATTTCATAGCAATGCCTAGTTACTGGGCAGTGGATATGCTATTGGTGGATTCTAAAGAAATCCTGTTCTTTGTTTAACAAAGTATAATGTAATGACAGGTTGTACACAGAGGAAAATACTGTAAAGGTCCTTGAGGAGCATGAACAGTACTTTGTATTCAGTTATCTTTGATGCATTCATGTCAAGATCAACCAAAGTTCTCTAGTCACTTTCAGCAACAGTAACACTGCAGAGTAACCTGCAAGATATGAAGATACACAATTCCCATAGGTATTTTTTTTCTAGTACCATGTTCTGTGATCTGCATTGTGTTGTATAGTAAGATATATACATAGGAATATGATACAAATGAACCTTAGAGCAATGAGGTCTTTTCTTTACATAGGCTAAAAGGGGAAAGCAGAACGATGAGAGGAAAAAGAGATTTCTTCTGGTAAATGCAGGTCTTGCACTGGCTCCTGATTCATTTCAAATAGTCCTTGACAGTGAAAACGAAACTAAAGGTAACGTACATTTGTGCATGACTGGGAGTTCCTACACTTGACTTTGACTGCTTTGCAGAGTGTTAAATGTTGGACATAACATCTAGTGGCACCATGTAGAGAATATTGCAGTGCAGATGAAGTGACAGCTCTGCTGAGTCCTGTGGCAGAGCTGCTATTGATTCCATCAGGGAGCTCAGATTTACCTTGTGATACTGGAAGACGAAATGTGACTGTTTTTCCCACTGAATTCTTTGGAATCTTACTGTTGTGCTGAAATTTTATTTTCACTATGTGCAGCCCCAGAATGTTCTTACTCAAGGTCAGTTTTGAGTGGTATTTTCACCCCATAATATTATGTGTTAATTACATACAATATTGGGTATTATGCCACAAACATTTGTGATTATAAGGCCTGTTGTGGAAAAAGTGTGGAAAAGGAACAGATTTTCCAGATTGCTTGAACTACTTTATCTTATCTTGGCAATAAAGCAAGCTGTGACTAATTTAACTAACTTTGAGTGTACCCAGTGTACTCCAAAGTAGAGATTGTGCTGAAGGAAGGGACTGCTCTGGAAGGAGTGCCCTGGTATCCAATGCACCCTCTTCATGCAGTGGGAGGCCACACGGTTCTCTCATGCCATCTAGTCAGCCAGGCCAAAATTTACCTTGAATATTCTCATTTCAAACTTGATCAACTGATGACTTACAAGCAAGAGTGTTACTTACAGAATCAGCAATCTCACTCCGTGCAGCACATGTCAGTATGTGAGAATGCTTTTGTCAGAAAAGATTCTCATACGTGATTTAAAGTGTTAAAGTGCATTGTATTTATGAAGCTTAGAGAATTAAAAGCATGTATGTGTTTCTGCTGGCTCTTTAATTTTAACTTGACAACTGTAAAATTATATCCAAAATTCCTTAGAATAAAATAGCTTGTTGACTATAGTGAAACAGAAGTCAGTGCCCTCAAAAGGAAACAGCAAACTTAATGCTGACTGGGAATATCTTTGATGACTGTGAGCTTGATGTCTGACCTCATCCATGTAGTCTTGACTGGCGCTATTCAGAGCAATGCACATCCTGTCAGGAAGGAGGGGTACTTTTGATATTTGGGGGCCAAACAAGCATAAACCAGTTTTTGTATAGGATGAGTATATGTGAAGATAAAGGAAAAACAGAACAGATGCTGGTGGGGTGTGGTTATTTTCCATGTTGATTGACTGGTTTAGGGAAAGTTTGAAGGACTGGAGAAAGGGCTGGATTAGATGTGTTTCAGAAAGTTGTTATGAATCAAACCACATACCTTTCATATGGATTTTTTTACCTCTAATACTTAAAAATTACCTTAAATTCTTCTTTCCTTGCTAAGTTTCCTCAGGTAAAAGTAACAGTCAGACAAGCTACCTCTGTGCAAAAGCACAACATCATACTAAAAATGTGAAGAAAGTTGATGAACATTTGAAACAATTAAGAAATGAAAATGACAGAGAGAGGTAATTACTGTAGACAAGAAATGTCTCTTTCATCTTGCGTGGAATTGTGTAATGGGAATGTTTCTTACTGAAGATGTTATGTACGTGATGCCTTCAAAGAGGCTGAACACTTCAGTCAGACATGGCAGACAGTTGAGCATGTGTTTAACTTTTCCAGTATGTTCTCCTGTATGTCCTGTTGTATTCTCCCCCTGCTTCAGATCCGTTCTCTTGCACACACAAACTTTAACAGAACAGCTCCAGGGCTGTGCATGGAGCTCCAGGTGGGTTCTCACCAGAGCAGAACAGAGGAGCAGAATCCCCTCCCTGGCCCTGCTGGCCACACTATTTTGGATGCAGCCCAGGACACAATTGGCCTCTGGGCTTCAGCGCTCACTGGTGGTTCATGTTGAGCTACTGATAAAAAGTTTGCAATTCAGTAATTTTTATGAAATTTAAAAATTTATTTATGATGGCTATCATAATTGGCATGATTTTTTTGTTGATCCTGAAATGTGGAAGATAATCCTGCTTATAACGTGATGTAATGTCTGCTTTTTCTTTGGTAGAATTGTACTTTGGGCAGATTTGGCAAAAGTTGCACGTAAACAGGAAGTATGGGACGTGTGCCGTGCTGCCTGCAGGTTTTGTCTCTTGTATGATGATACTTTGTTTAGGAAAGTAACACAACCTGAAAACAGTAAGTGAACAAATTATTTTTAATGATCTAAGAGGAGCTTTTTCCTCATTTATTAGAGTTACTCAAAGGAGTCAGCTAATACTGTTACTTTTTTCCCTCCTTATTCCTAGAGTTCCCCGAGATTCTGTCTCTGCATGTTGGCATACATGGAATATTGTTTTAAAGGTGTTTTAAAATTCACCTTTAAGAATAGATGAAGTTTTAGCACACAGTCTCTTGGCTGTTTTTTTTCTCTAGCCAATGTTAACTGAACCTGTATTACATTTTTCTCTAGATAGTTTCCAAGATCCACTTAAAATAGGGCATGAACTTACCTGTTTTCTTTCACAAGTTTTGCATCTCCAGACTGGAGAACATCCAGCATTCTGCCTCTGGAAACACCCACCAATTTCAGCAACCTCGTTAACAAACTTTAATTTAATTGATTGATTGAAGCACTTCTGAACAGAGATGAAAAGTGTTTTTATCTCCTGCCTACCCGAGAAAAGTGTTTTGACTGACAAAAACAGAATTATAAAGCCCTGTAGACATTCAAAGTAACACCTCTGCCTTGGAGATGTGAAATTTGTGGAAGGAAAAAAGAACCTTCCAGTTTTAATTAATGATCTTTTGGTGTGTGATTGTCCTGTGTGTCTGGTAAATGCTTCTTTCTCCCTTTGGTTTGGAAAAGAGATGAAAGATGCAACATGGCTAGTCTGGAGAAAGTAAATACCTGTGGTTGGTCTCAAAACCAGGACCAATCCAGTCAAATTATCAGACTGTGGGTTTCAATAAAACAAAAACATTACCTTGTTGCAGAAATTAAAAGGTTATTTTGGAATATCAAAGTATAGTTAAAAAAAATTAAATTACTGTGTCTAAAAAGTTAGATTTATTGAAGAGTGTTGAACAGAACCTCTGGTTCAGGAGGTTGCTTGGATGCAGATTCTGACAAACTGTGAAGATAGGCCAGGGAAAAATGTAGCTCTCTGTATCCTACTTTGATGCCTTTCTTCTAATACCCACTATTGCCCAACAATGTAGAGAGAACCTGCTGTGACAGCTTATATGCTCTGTGTATTTACTGAAATAATCTTGGTAGTTTCTTTTTAATTATTAAACTAAAGAAAAATAATGCTGTTTTTCTCTTTACTGATCTGTATGTTGCCAGAAAGTGAACCTTATTAATGATTGAAACATGATTAGGTTCTAGCCACTACAGAATGTCTGGTGCTCCACTTGCATCAAAGCAATAAAATTTAACTATAGGCCATGGTTCATATTAATATTAATGTAATTTCAGTGTGCCTGGTTTCACTGGAGCAAGTTATTTGCTTGAAATAGTGACATTTATGCACAAATGCAGCAAAATCAGAGGTAACCAGTGCCTCAGCACTGCTTGAGAACAGGCTTTGAGTGCAGTAAATAGCACTGCTGAGAAAAAAAAATTACAGTGAAATTATTTTAAATCCGTACTTGTTAACTATTTCTTGTGCATTTAAGAAGAATCTATTGGTATTTTAAAATTTCAAAGTGAAGGTGATTTTTTTCTGATTTTTAGGGCAATAATAATAGACTTATTTATTTTTTTTATAGCACAGAAGGAGAAAACTAAAACAGCCATGATGGGTGATGATCAAGGTGACACCTTATCAGGAGAATTACTACCTGCTAAATCCTTCTCTTTTGAAAGAGATTTACTCAGAATATTAGCAGAAATAAGATTCATTAATGCAGAGGTAAATAAATTATGCAGCAGTCATTAGTATTTTCTTAATTTAGCTTTTTATGTCTAATTTTATGTATGAATCCTAAAGCACTGCAATTTAAAATTGAATTATTGTCTATCTCCACAGGAACTTAAGGAAGAAGTATTTTCATGAAGCATCTTAGTAAAAATACAGGGTGAAAGTAGCTGTAGCAGTTGTTGCACTGCAGGTGGTGATAACACTTTTTTACAGGGGATTCTATTGTAAATGCTGAAAAAGCATCTGAAGAAGCATTTAGTATTCTTTAATTTTTTAAGAAGTAGCAACACTAATATCAAGTCACAATCTATTTTCACAATGATAACCTGGGTAGAAAATGTATGTGTTTGTATTTTTCCAGGCAACTGTTAATTTAATAAGATTGCAGGGAGTTGAACTGAACGATCAAGCGGTGCCTCCAGAAGACACAAGCCAGTGTCCAGGAGGTGTTTCATGTGTTCCTGAAAGTGATCCAGAGTGGAAAACATACAGGTGCTTTTCTTAATACATAACAAGATCTAGGAAATCTAATAGATTGGTATTGCCACACACAGATGATAATTGCAAACGTTATTTCTTAGCATAACTGAGTGTCACTAGATGCATCTTATTTTTAGGTAGTTGTGGTAATGGGAAAAGGAAAAAGTCTAAAAAACTTTGACACTTTTCTTTAATTTGCTTTCTTTCTGGAGTGTGCATTTTATTATTCATCTAACGCTTATTTATCTGAAAGTAGAGGCTAGCATCCCATCCTTAAAAACTATTATTTCTGTGGTTTATATATAATATATTACATAGTCAGAACATAACATTATATATTTACTAATATTTTTTCCCAATTCAAACAACTCTTTGCCTTTCTTTATAGCTCTTTTAACCATAATGATGTCTGAGTACTCTAATACATAAAATTAATTACTTCAGTTTGGAAAACTAGTCTGTTCCATCCAATCAACTGAAATTAATAGGGGACAGTAGAACATAGCAAATTTCTTTTTTTTTTCTAGTCTCACATGATTATTTTCCTGAAAAGGATGATGGGGCTGGGGGAAGAATTCTGAAGATGATATTTAAACTCTCTTCACATTCATACTAATATTAGCCTGATTGTGACAGTGGTCATGTTCTGGAGGAGTGCAGTGTCAGTCAGAATCATAGAATCATAGGGGTTGGAAGGGACCTTGAAAGATCATCCAGTCCAACCCTCCTGCCAGAGCAAGGTCACCCAGAGCACATCACACAGGAACTCATCCAGGTGGGTTCTGAATGCCTCCAGTGAGGGAGACTCCACAACCTCCCTGGGCAGCCTGTTCCAGTGCTCTGTCACTCTCACAGTAAAAAATTTTTTTTGGATATTCACCTTGAACCTCCTATGCTCCAATTTACACCCATTACCCCTTGTCCTATCACTGGTCATCACTGAGAAAAGCCTAACTCCATCTCCTTGACACTCACCCCTTACATATTTGTAAACATTGATGAGGTCACCCCTCAGTCTCCTTTTCTCCAAGCTAAAGAGACCCAGATCCCTCAGTCAGAGTTGTGTCCCTCAGTCTGTTCAATAAGTTTGAAGATTAAGTATAAGTTTCTCACACTGTCTGCTTTCAAATTTTTAGTAGAATGGGAAAAAATATAAACTGATCACAACCCAGGGACAAAGAAGGCAAAGATTCTGATTCAGAATTTGCTACTAAGCTATCTTTTTTACCCAGTTAGTGCAAAAACTTATTGGGGAAAAGCTCCTTGGTTGCTGTGGTTGACGGAGTGATACCCCGTGTCAGTTCATGTTGGAAAAAGTTATTGAAAGAAAGTTATTGCATAGACTATGAAAAAGTTGTTGTTCTACTACAAATGAATGTAGCATTTCAGAACATCTGGAGATTTCCGAGTGCAGGAGCACATGCAGCTGTTGGGTGAACACCTGTGTGCAGTGCCTTGCTTGTCTCTGTATTCAAGTAGGGTCCTGTCACGGGTAGTTAGTGATTTCTAGCACTGATGTCTGGATTCACACATGCATTAAAAAAGCCCATGTGGATGTAGCATGAACTACAGCCATTATTTTTTAAGCTAATAGTATTTGAATCTCAGAAGCCATGTTTATGTTGACGCTAATTCCTTTCCTGAGTCCTTGTCTCATTCAAGTAACATAAGTTAATGGATGAGGACTTAATAAATGCAACTGGAAAGCATTTTTTTTGTTGTTGATTGAGATACACTACTGCATATTTAACCTTACAATATCATTACTTGTAGTTGAAGTTTTGGAATAATAGCTTCTTTGTACTAATTTTATAGTTCATGGATAGACTACTTATCCCAGTATGCTATGGAAAACTTCCAGCGTGCAGCTGAAATAGGAGAAGAGTTGAAAGAAACCTGGATTGTGCACAATGCTGTGGTGTATGTCCTGAACTACAACAGACATCTTATCTCTGGAGGAAGACAGAGGAAAATTATGGAGTATCTGCAGACTCTTCTTAGAGCCATCAAGACTGTTGGGCACAATGGGTAAATTTAGGTGTTTGGTTATGGACATGTTCTTTTTCTTGAAAACAGAAAAAATATGTTTACAAATGTAGTAAATCACTTTGTGCTGTGAAACACTCGTAATGCTGGCTTTTATTAATAATAGGACGTGGGTATTTATAGAGTATTTTAGTGTGGTATGAAAATTACTTTTTAGTAATTTGTTTTCTCTTTGCCACTATTCACTATAAGCTATATTAGTTTTAGACTAAGCAATATTAAATTATCTGCATTATGGATTAGCAGCATGTACATATTAAATAGTATTTCTTAAGCCAGTCAGAAATAATCTGGAAAATTTTCTTAGACTGAGTTTGCAGGAGAACTTGAAATGTCTTTGCATGCTATCTGTTGCTCTGAAGTTGAATTATATTTTAAATGTAGTTAATTGTAAATAATCAGAGTAAGGTGGTTACTACTAGTTCTGTTATATGAAAGTGAAGAGACAAAAAAAGAGAATGCACATTAACAGAGCATGAAAATGGGAATGTAGATTCCACAGTGGTGTAAAGAAATCCTGTTCTGCAGTAAATGCAATGGAAGAATGATTGACTTAAGACAGAGGAGAGGCTGAAGTCAAAGTCTGACTGTGGGACAAAACCCTAGAAATTCTAGAGCATTATTGACAGTGACCCCAGCCCCAGGCAAACCAGGACCAGCAGCAAAAAAGGCTCTTTTAGCAGTATTGGAGGACAAAGCCTAAAGTGCAGTTTGTTCAGATATGAGGTCTGATAATGCCTGCTTATTGATTCTGATATTTATATTAGCATCTACCAGCACAAAACTATTAGTCATGATTCAATTTGTGTTGTCTCAAAAAGAAAAAAAAAGGTGATTCCAGCTCAGCCGTTGATTGACATGAAGGGTAATACAGTGTAGTAAGTGAATGGTTTATGGGTTAGCTGAGGTTAATTTTTTAGGAAAATAGTTACTGTTTTCATACATAGCAGCACACTAATAAAAAAATGGTATTTTTGTGCATCTGACAGAAATACCAATATTTTTTTTATATGAGGAAATAGAAGCTTTAATTATTAAAAGCGCTGAAAAAAATACACTGTAAATGATGACAGCTGTGATTTGGTTTTTTTTATATTTAACCATTTAAAGTGGTTTTCCAGTTGGAGGCTTTTTTGTAACACTCATGCTTTTACTTTCTAAGGAAATGTAGGTTTTCAAGTAATGTCTCTTACTTGAAAGCAATAAACTTTATCACTCCTCTCATTTTGATCTGATAAAGTATGTACTTCTGATTTTTTATTTCTTTAACAGAAATACTTCAATTTTATTGATGTTATGTAATGCTTTGGCTCGAGGCTTAATTCTTTGTTGGATTCCAAAACCAAAACTTGCTGAGCCGGAAGAAAAAGCTGCAGCAACAGATGGAAGCAGAAAAGCTGCAGCAAAGAAACCTGAAAAAGCAAATGTCGTCCAGCCTTTTTCAGTAGATCCTAGTGGACTTCCTGACATCAGAGCTGCCTTAGAGGTACAGAACCCTTATCTTTTGTAGTATTTTCTGGTCTGCTGTCTTATATTACAATTCGTATAAATTAAATGGTAGACTTTTTTTTCAAAAAATAAGCCATCACATATTCTCCCCAAATGCACTTGTCTTTTTTTCCTTCTTGATGTTTAGATTTGTGAATTTGCCCTAAATGTGGCAACTGGAACCCCACCTGGTGAAGCAGTACCTGTTGCTGCACAGCAACAGATCATTGCTACTTGGGTGAAAGCAAAACAGTTGCATCAACAGCAGATTGGACATGAGCTTTGGATGGAGGAGAAGGTATTACTCCATGGAAATCCTGCACTGTGTTGAAACTTTTCTTTGAAAAATTAGAATTAAATCAGTACATTTGTTTACTAATAACTGGAATTATTCATATTTTCCTCAATATATTTATATACAACATGAAAATAAATTTTGCTGTAGTTCCAATAAATCTTTACAGAATACAGCAATTTTTTCACACTGGGCATAGCAGTGAGCCTGCATTTCTTTAACTCTCCCTTTTGTTTTACCTGCCAAGAATTATTATGGTGATATCTGTCATATGATGACTGTATGACAAAGTTTGTTTTGGATTCATACATTTAAAATACTAAAATGGCTACATTAAAAAATGTTACCAAAAATATATTCATATCAACATTTAATGTGGTCTCTCTGTATAGAATATAGAACTAGTAAGTTGGAAATTTAATATTTAATCACTTTTTATTGTGTCAGTAAAACTGGAATCCCTCAATGATTTATGAAATTTACATTCCTTGTATTGCTGCTGTGGATTTTTGATGTTGAAGCTGTAGTAGCTCATGTTTACAGTGATAATGAAAAATAAATACATAAAATTCCCTACTTTAAGAACATAGTAAAGAAAGGAAGACTTGCTTAACAGAAATTAAGGTTTTTAAAGTGTAGTTATTACTACCCTGTCATCTCAGTAAATGTCCTTAGTAATATTTACTTGCAAAAAAGCCCAAACCTGTTCAAATGACATTTTTATTTCTTCTTAGAATAATGATGAAGCACAAAATACTATGGAAAGAATCCTTGTTGGTCTGGAAATGTATTCCTGTAATGGCTTGGGTCTTATGGACTTCACTGTTCCTAGCTTATCTGAGGTATTTAGTTTATTAGTTCTTGAAATTGCATGGTATAAACGTGATTCCAGTTTCAGTTTTGGATGGACGCAAAATTAGTTTTACAACTTTCCAAGAGATGGAATAGTTATGACAGGTAGAAGAGTTTTGTGACTAAGTATTTTCATTTATCCAGAAAACAAGTAGCATTAGGAAACAAGTATTAAAATTCTTTCCCTGTTGCATAAACGTTATTTCCATAACCATCAGATGAGCATGATGGGTTGAGATGAATTCTGTGCAGAACCAAACTTCTGACCTTCTATTTGTTGTGGAGAAAACTTTATAGAACCATAGAATCATTTAGGTTGGAAAAGACCTTTAAAATACGAAAAAAAGGAAGAGGTCTAGATGCCATAATGAAACCATCCATGAAACACTGTTGGTAAAACCAGTTCTGTCTCCCATTCTTACATTTGGCTTTACTAAAATGGCTCTGAGTTACTGAAGTCCTGTTCCACTGATACTCAGAGGAGGACTGAGGACATGTAAGTAAGTCCTGGCAGATCCTGCCTGTCAAATGTGCATGCAGACCTACAGGTGGCTTTGCATGCACTGATGTAAGACTTGCTACAGGGTGGATGATGCTGCTCTGCTGTGTATTCTGATGGTTCTTGTCAGTCTTTGGTTTGCTGGGTTATCTGTATCGCTGTGTCATGGACTTGCTCCATGTTCGGGTGAGTTGTGCGAGAGAGAGAGCTGAAGTATCTAAGTGGTGTGTAAAAGACCATGAACACTTTTTTTCACTTCTGTTATTCCTTTGTTTTCTGTTTTGTTTCCAGTTAGTGCAACTGGCTTTGGAATGCAGTTGGTCAGATTCCTTAGTGGAGGTGCAGGCACTGGCACGACTTGCGTATTTTGCCTACGTATCCCATGACTATGAGGCAGTGATGACCTGTGCCAGAAGGGTCTTGCAATCAGATGAGGGTTTTTGCCACCGTAGAGATGTTAAGGAATATGACACGTAAGTACATGGAATTTTGCATGATACTGTGCTATACTTGAGATCAAGTTTTGAAGAAAGTTCGTATAGGGGAAATGCACCTGGATCACATAGTCAAAGGTGACAGAATCTTTTTACAAAGCAGCTGCAGAGTCAGAGGTGAAGGCACAACTGAACTCTGCAGCACAGCTGGTGTCGCGAACTGGCAGGAGCTGTCAGGGTGTTAGAACACGGCTTGCCTTGGGAAGATGTGCCGGTGGAGCCGAGGGACGGGACGTGGCGATGCCGCCCGCAGGAGCAGCCTCCAGAGCCTGACCCGTGAGCTGCACCCGAGTCACAGGCCGAGGCTGACCGCAGATTTACAGCTTAACGGATTAAAACGGCTTATTAGGGAGTTTAACACAATTTAGGGGAAATGCACCTTATTGTTTACACACCCAGATTAACTCTTACTATCTAAGAGGGGAGGAGGAGGGAGGGACATGCCCGGCACCTGTCCCGTACAGGGTCGCGGTTTGTGTGAAGGTGAGCCAGGGCAGGAACACCTTCGGGAGGGAGTGGTACCAAAAGGCCATCCCTTGCTTGATTCCTGAGGTGGCCTGGGTGTTTCTGCGTTAGGTGCGGATGACTTCCCCTGCAGCCCGAAGCAGGCCCCGCGGGTGGCGGGAGGCAGTCCCGTGCGGGTGGCTGACAGAGGCAGGTTGTGCAGGTGAGCAGGGACCCCCAAGAGCAGGCAAACCCCCAACAGGCAGGCAGCAGCAGGTCAGTGTCCCTCCAGAGAGCGGCAGCGAGCAGCCCGCAGGCACTGCCTGGCCAGTCTCTGGTTCCTGGCTCTGCCCGCCCTGCCGGCCCTGGGCAGGCTGCTGTTCCCACGCTCTGCGGTCTTCCCGGCACTGCTCCTGCTGGCGGCCGGTTACCCCCTCACGGAGTTGTTTTGTGGCAGAGGAGGCAAGCGGACTGGAGAGGGTGCGAAGTGCCTGACGGAGCAGCCATTTTAAGTCAGTCACGGCTGGCGGC